TCAGGCTCTGTGCTCCGAGCCGAGCCCCGAGCGAAAGCGGCGCCCCCTGCGCTTCTCTTCCAGCACGCCTGACCGTGTCCTACTGCCGGAGCAGCGGCCCCGGCGGGCAGAACGTTAACAAAGGTGAGGAGAGGATCTCCCACTTCCTAGGCAAAACAGTCTGCAGTTGTTTCTCTATACTTTGTGGTGAAATACTGAAAGCTTGAAGTTAAAGGGCATCTCTGTGCTGCACAGTGCTCGTTTTTCATTATCACTACCCTGCATTTGGACACAGCTTCACATGTCCAGTTCTGGAGCCCTCAGCACGAGACACAGACCTGTTGGAGGAGGTCCAGAGGAGGCTGCAAAAAAGATCTAGCTTCTGCTGGGAGGCCAGGCTGAGAGAGTTGGGGTTGTTCAGCCTGGAGACCATCCAGGGTGACCTTCTGGTGGCCTTTCAGAACTTAAAAAGGGGCTACAGGAAAGCTAGGGGCAGACTTTTCGTCAGGGAGTGTAGGGATGGGATGGGGGGTGATGGGTTTAAACTGAAAGAGGGAGATTTAGGCAAGAGAGAAGGAAGACATTTTTGATGCTGAGGGTGGCGAGACCCTGGCCCAGGTTGCCCAGAGAGGTGGTCACTGCCCCATCCCTGGAACCATTCCAGGTGAGGCTGGCCAGGGCTCTGAACAACCTGCTCTAGTTGCAGTTGTTCCTGCTCCCTGCAGGGGGGTTGGACCAAATGACCTTTAAAGGTCCCTTCCAACCCAAACCATTCTACAATAGCATTTGAGACCAGTGGTAACAGATTAGAGTCTCCTAGAACCGTTTACTGGGTTCATTGCTGCTACACACACTGCATGAAACACCACCTCTATCTAATCTGTCATCTTTGATCCAACACTCAACAAGCCACCTGGATTCTGAAACTTCACAGCACAACAAATTGTCAGCTTAATTCAAATAAAGTAAAAATACTTCCTGGTGTGCCGTTGCCAAACAAGGCAGTTAGTGACTGCCTATGGCAATAAATCTTGTAGTGTCTAGAAAGGCAAATACAGTGACAGAGTTTGTCTTATAGAGTGAATGCAAAAATATAGCAAGAAAAAGAATTGTGATCTTTTAGGAAATTAGAACTCAAATCATCCTGTGCTCAAAGCCAGCAGGGAGCAGACTGAATTATCTCCTAAAACTTAGGGAGACAAGCCAAAAAAGACCCTGTTTCTGCTCCCAGTGAATACCAAGGCAGAAGTTCGGTTCCACCTGGCATCGGCAGACTGGATTCCAGAAGCTACAAGACAAAACATGGCATCAAAGGTAACAACCCTCCCAGTTCCATCCACGGTTCAGACGTCACGCTTTCAGACTGGACGTGACAGATCTAACGTGGTTTCAGTGATCACATCACGTTTTCCCCTCTTTAGTACAGGAACAAGATAAACCGAGCGGGCGAGCTGATTGTGAACTCTGAGGAGAGTCGCTACCAAATGAGGAATCTGGCAATTTGTTTAGAAAAAATCAGAACCATGGTCACAGAGGCTACCGAGCAGCCCAAGGTGGTGTCGAAGGAGACAACACAGAAGTTCATAGAGAGGTATCTTAGCCTGAATCCGTCTCAAAGAAAGGCCATTTCAATAATCATATTTCATTATTTAGTTAGCATCTATAAACAATCATCTTCATCCTCATTTAAATTTCCTTTTTTTTTAAAAAAAAAAAAAAAATCACTAGTCTGTTAGATTTTAACTGCTCCCCTGGGTAGCACCTCAAAAACAAGGAACAGTATGTTTTTCTACCTGTGGATATTTGTCAGCTAATCAAATTCACATTGTAACCGTGCTCAAAGTTGAATATTGAAGTGTTTTCTTACTGCACTGAAAGACCTTTTCATTTTGTTTTAGAGTGGAAAAAATGAACCGTGAACGGCTGCGACAGAAAAAGATACACTCAAACATAAAACAGAGCAGGAAGGCTGACTTCGACTGAGGGCAGCAGAGCTCCGGGTCCTTGGCATACCATCTGTTCAAAGAAAAGGTGTTGGCAGCTGTAGGTGATGCAAAACTTCAGACCTACGTTGAATAAAAATGATCTAAACTTGTAAATAAAATCGTTACCGTCTCCTTTTGGAGCTAAGGATGCACTGTGACAGCCTGTCAGTGATTTTGCAGAAAAAAAAATTATTGTTCATATTTTGGACAAACTCAAAATTCAGGGATTTGTCAGCTACTTCTTTAAAAAAAAAAAAAAAAAAATTTGGTCCTTCATCTAGGCCTCTGTTCTGTGAGAGCACCCTCTGCTGCTGAGCACAAAAGCTGCAGTAGATTTTGGGAGGGAAGAAAGGGAAGAGTAAAAGAAGCCTGAACTATATAAGCAGTAATTAGATTAGTCACCGTTTCAAGGGTTTCCCACCCATTTTGGTTATTTTTTCCTAACCAAAGAAAGTGCATGTCATTGTGTTAAACTGACCTAAAGGAGTGGCAGGAATTTGGCAGGAGGCAGTTGCTCTGTTAGTGCTAAAAGACAGAATCCACCCTGTAAGTACAGGAGTCCTCTGGCCGTTGAGGTGGAACCCCCCAAAAAACCTGGGCTGGATCTTACAGGCTTCAGGAGTTGCTTGTTAGTAGGCCTTGCTTAAACACAAAGATTTGGGCTTTAATGTGCTGGATTTCACCATGGTGGGGGTCTCAAATTAAATTGTGCATTTTTTCAGGCCCTCCCAGGGCCCCAGTGGCCTAATGGGTAAGGCACTGGCCTTCTAAGTCAGGGACTGTGGGTTAGAGTCCCACCTGGGGTGAGGAGAGGTGGTTCTGTTTCAGGCAACAACTCAAAGAAGACGGGAATTGGGGCACAGTGGGGTGCTCAGGACTCTGCCCTGACACTCACAGCTCTGCTGAAACCAATGCCTGTTCCCCTTCAGAAAGGAGGGACTTACCTCCAAGGACATCCTGCCCAGGGCCAGCAGTCTCCACCTTTGCCCAGCCAGCCTTGATCCACAATAACTGGTTTTCTCCTGCCTAAAGCTTTATCTGCTGCAGCTCCTGAGCTGTGCCCTGGCCCTTATGAGCAAGTCACTGCTTCAAGACCTGCTTCTGCCACTGAGAGTCATCACATGAGCTTCAGCTGGGACAGCAGCAACCTCAGCAGAGGCCTCACTGCCACCCGTCTCCTGCTGCTCAGGTCTCCCTCCCTGGATTTTACAGTAAGATTTGGAAAGTTTTGTTCAAAGCATTTGAGGCACCACATGAAACCAGGGTCTAGCAAAGAACAGTTTTGGTTGAAAGGGACCTTTAAAGGCCACCTAGTCCAACCCCCTGCAGGGAGCAGGGACATCTGCAACTCGAGCAGGTTGCTCAGAGCCCCGGCCAACCTCCCCTGGAATGGTTCCAGGGATGGGGCAGCGACCACCTCTCTGGGCAGCCTGGGCCAGGGGCTCACCACCCTCAGCATCAAAAATTTCTTCCTCCTCTCTAGTCTAAATCTCCCTCTTTCAGTTTAAACCCATCACCCCTTGTCCTGTCACAACAGGCCCTGCTAAAATGATTTTTTGCATCAATTTTATTTTGGTTAAGCCAGTGGATAAAAATGAAAAGGGATCCTACCTCTCTAATATGAAGACAGGGGGAGACCAGTACACATCCCTGGGCAAAACCGACTTTGGAGATGTCACAGAAATCGTGCGGGTGCCAGGTTGCAGAACCGTTCTCCCGCTCCTGGGGGCAGAAGTTGACGGCATCCCTCTTTCCTGTAGCCCCCCCCGCAGCACTGCCGGGCTGCAAGAAGGTCCTCCGGGTTTGGGGGAGC